GAGTGTCTGTTTGCATCACATGAATCCCACTCACAATGAGACCAGGCTGGAATGAGTTGCACTTCTAGGACCAGGACTTAGCCTAATTTTTAAGCATCTGACATTGTTAACAGAGCTTTTTGGTGTGCTAGCCTTAGTCTGCTGACAGTGTTTCTTCCCTTCTGTCCTTGCCAGGTGAGCTGGCCAGGAGAAAAAACTTAAGCATTAGTGTATCTAGTAGACATCAGAGAATCAATGTGGAGTGACATGTTGCAAATGCCTCAAGCCCTGGGTAAGCTTCAGTCAGAGCTTAGACATCTGAAAGCTCAGACAATGAAGCCCACGGAAATTGAGGTTTCTGTTTTTGTACTCAGAAATGGCTTGGAGTTTTGCCTTTTCTACCTTGATCAGTTAACAGTTCTTACAGATTGCAAGTCATATATAAGAAAGCAGCTAATGCAAAGAGCTTGTGAAAAAACGGTGCTATCCATATTGTGTGATTCTTCTATGGTGGTGGACAGTAGCACCTGGAAGATGGCAATCTCAGTCATTCCTCTTTTAGGAGACAGATTTCACCATTTCAGATACCCACTGTGGGAACAGATAACACTAGAAATTAAGGTTGCAACAGTTTCACTGTTTGCATTGAATTTCTCTTGTTTGCTTGTTGTTCTTGTTTCTTCATTTTAAGCTGAATTCAGTTTTCGTATTTATGAATGCATGCAGTTGAATACATTGACCTAAAAATGTTTTTGTTTGTTTGTTGAGAAAATATGAGTATAAGCAGCAATGAATGATTGCATGCCGTGTCTGTAAAATATGTGACCATGCATACAGCCATAATGCAAATGGAGAATAAATGTGTCAACACCCGGTTATATATAAGATCATTCATTTATCCACTTCTGTATTCCCTTGAGTCCCATGGTCTAGTTGTAGGCATAAACTGTACCTTAAAGCTGTCTTCTACACAAATAATGTATCGCTGCTAATCGATGCATGACGTTAATGTCATCACAGGGAGAATAACGGATGCAACAGTTAAAGCTACATTCCTTGAAAATGTTTCAAAATTTATATCTAAATGAGAAAATGCTGATGACTGAAATATTCTTAGGGAAGGGAGCCCTCTTCATTAAACTGTTCTGTGGGAGATAAAACTTGCTCCTCATCCAATAAATCAGATGTGGATTTCCTTGTACCATAAAGCATTTTTTGTGATCATCACGTTTTCATATCCATCACAAAATTGTTGAACCTACACCCTGCAATATGGATTGGGGTGAGTCTGGAAATACAGCCCTCCTAGGACTAGTGATAAGGTATCCGATTGTGTCAGACTTATTTCCAGAATTTTTCTGCAAAGTTATACTCCCAAAATACTATTTATCCAAAAAAATTAAAAATTACTGCAAAAGCTACCATTTCTGTATATTTGCAGTATACCTAATGAGTCTTTCAATGAAAAGCAGTTCCACTTTCTACACATCTATCTATTTCCCCCAAAACATGCAGAGCAATTGGAACAGAGTATCACCTAACCCAACCCCGGGTCTGAATGTTATTTCTAGAAAGTATTTTGACCAACATTGATTTCAGAGTAAAATCCTTGTGAACATAGATTTGGTATGGTATATTGAGTAGCTGTTTGAACATCTCTATATAGTGAATATGTATATGAATTGTGAATTATATATGAATGCATTCATAGCTGTGTGGTGTCTATTTTCATATAGTATGAAAATAAGCTTCACTCAGTAGAGCACAGCTCTTTCATACCATCTGAGAAACAACTAACTGGAATTTTACAATGAAACTTTTAGTCCTACCTAGTGTTTATGTAAAAAGCTGTAGCGGCTTTGGTGAGAAATCTTGAGTCCTGAATTTGATGACTGTCTCTTGAGATCTTAAGGTGTGGAGAAAGACGATAACAGAGCCTTTGGCTTTTCTTTAAGTAAGTGCAGTGCTTGCCACTGAAGTGAAAGCATTTGTCAGGTTACAGTAAAGATGTGAAGAGAATTAAAATTGATAAGCCAAACAATTTGGCAAATGTTAGTCTGTAACTTAACAGAAAATAAATCTTCGGGTGCAAAGGGAGATCTGTGCCTCTTAAGCTAGAGTCCAGATTAGAGCTCGATGCTGTAAGGGTCTGGGGAACTCAAGAGTGCATTCTTCATCCCGTGTACAGGAATAACGTGCCCGTCTTTACATCTCTGTGTGGGGTGTGAGCCAGCCTCTCTCTCCATCTGCTGGGAAGGGGAGCAGGCTCACAGTCCACTCTCCATTGCTCCTCAGCATGACGCAGTATTTGGCCTGCCCTGACCATCTAGCAGGCTTATGTTGCAACCTTTATGGTGGGTTTTTTTTCCTCCCCAGCATTTGCTTTCACTATGAGGCCTAAAAGATGACCTGTCATAATATTCTTCCATCTAAGTGGTTTTACTTTCTGGGAAGTTTCTCAAAAAACAAGTTTTTACTGTGACTGAAAATGATTTGCAGTGAAATCTATATACTCTACATCCTGAGATGACAGAAAAATGAGTTCATGTCCTCTTTTCTTTTCTTCTCTTAATAGCAAATGTGCTGTCGGTTGTGCACAGTCAATGTTCCAACAGCCAAGTGGGTACTTAGAGGTGTTTTATTTTTGTAGCTACAGTATCAACTGAGTTTCTTACAAGGGGGTTGAACTTCTTAACGTTGGACCTTTCCCAGATGAAACCTTTATTAACACTTGTCAGTTTGGCGGCCTGGCAGTACAGACAGTGACCTTCATTCTACTGCTGTGTTAGGCAGGGTTTGTCACTCTGACATGAACCTAATTAAAATAGAAAAAAATAATCAGTGAGTGATGTCAGTGAGAAACTGAGAACCAGAGTAAGAGCTTTTACTGGCCACAGTACAGCTATAACTATCTGCAGCTCTTCCCTTTTCTTCACTGATGGAGGGAATGTTATTCTGCCAGCTATTATTCATTCTCAATGAGCAGGGATAATCTTTCATAATCCCTTAGAGGCCTTACTTTGCAATATGTTAATTCTGAACTTTAAATCACTATTTACTTAGGGCCAGATTCTGTCATGCTTTTTCTTGCCAAATAGTAGCTTCCTCTGTTAAAAATGCAATAGTGAGTAAGGACAAGAATGAAGAGAAGTAGGCTTTATCCTGGATCCTTAACTGACAAATCTAACTATGTGAATTTTCACCTGCAGTTATTTTTCTTCATGAGCAATGACTTAAACTTTTTATTTTATTGTCAAATCCTTCCACTTACCTAGATGAGCATGAAGGCCTGTAGTCTATTTTTCAAACACTGGAGAATGAGAAAAGCCTGCAAACTATGCAATTTGGTTTGTGTTCTTTTTCACAGGTTCAGCTCCTACCATTGAAACTAGGAGTTTTATGGCCATCCCCATGCCACTAGTATCAAAAATTTGATCAGCTCTTTCAGCTGCTGTCTCAGTGATCATGATTCACACCAGAAACTTATATAATCAGTTAAACAAAGCAGTGCCATCCTTACCTTTGAAATTTTAACAATTCTCAAACTGCAGCAAAGTCAGTACTATCCAGATAACCAAATTTAGACAGACTTGTCCCTTAAGGTCAGAATAGTTCTTAGATTAGTTTATGCCAGATGATTAACACAAGGAAGAAATTCTCTGTGCTTTGCATCTGTTTACCTGTTAAGGTCTCAACAGAGTGAAGAAGCTCTATTGCATTACCTGTTTCTCATTTTCTAAAGTTCTTGGTCAATCTCCACCCCTCTTGTTTCAATCCTATCTTATTTTTGTTTATGCTACCTGTTTGTGAGATTAAGATTTGCTGGTTCTCATCAGTTTCTCTATTTGTATCTTCAAAGGTAGGTTTATTAAGTGACAGAGTTTTCGGGTCTAGGTTACTATTTTCAAATTGAGCAAGGCTGACCTTGAATAATTTTCTTTACTTGGCTTGCTGTAGTATTTCTGTTCTCGTAAACCATCTCAGAGAGACTGGAAATGATAGTGTTCCCCTGCAAGTTCCTGAAGAACAGCAGTAATATCAGCTGTCCGAGTTCTACACTGTGTGGGACCTTTCTGTGCTGAATGTACATCATGTAAGTAGTTAAGGTGTAACAACTGTAAAGAGGGCAGAAGGAGGCAAGGATCTTTTAACACTCAGTTCTTTAAGAGAATCACTCTCACAATAAAAAACGCAATTTAATCAATTCTGCAGTAAAAAACATGGATGCTTCTAATAAGTGAGGCTTCAAAAAGAAGATGCAATAGAATATCAGCTTCAGTCATTTGAATCTATGCAGGCACTGAAACTGAGGGAAGTCTAAGAACAAAAATTCCTGGTCTCTCAAAGGGTTAGTTTGTAAAGTAAAGGCATTTACATGTAAAAGGATTAGATTATTTATCTACATATTTAATTCCATTTGTCATACAAGATGGATTCTTTAGTTATGGTGTTAATTTGTATAAACTTTACCTTCCTATTCTTCCTGCCTTTTTTTTATATATTGGCCACAATTGCAGTTGTGTTCTAAAGTATCCACCATTACAAATCCTAGTACCGCATACTTGGTAATATAACTGCATATATGTAAGCTTCTCTCATTTGATTTTATTCTGATTTTTTTCAATGTATTTTCTGATTTTTCTACTAATATACCAGAGAGGTGCTAGATTACTTACTACTGATATGCAGGAGCTACATTGTTGAAGATTCTTTTCCAGTACAATAAGATAACTTGTTCACTTTGAAGAAGCCTGTTAATTGAAGGAGACTTATGTATTCAGGCAGCTGTGCTCTTGGATTTGACTAATTACATCCTATGCAAAGCATGTCTTTTCAAGAAACCTGACCCAGTGTCCATTAAGAGCTCAGAAATTTCTGAGATCATTGTGAACTCTGGGGAAGAGCCAAGAACAAGAGGAATTGAGGGTTTTTAACTTGGTGTTGGTTATTTCAATGCGTTTTGAACAAGAAACCCTTTTCCATGTTAATAATCTAACCCTTTCATATGTTATTGATTTTAGTTGATGAAGGAGTTTCCTCTGCTCAGCATGTTCAACATCCATGAAAACCTGCTAGAGGCTTTGTTGGAACTGCAAGCATATGCGGATGTCCAGGCAGTCTTAGCAAAGTATGATGGTAAGTTCATATATATTTATATTTTCTCTATACGGTACACACAGAAGCAACGTTTCTAAGTCAAACTCTTAAAATTTAGGAAACACTATAATTAAGGTGGTTGGCACAAGCTTCATAGATGCATTTACACAGTCCTTAATCCAAAGATGAAACATGGTGCATTTTTTCTGCCAACCCATGCTTAATTCAGTGTACAGGGTAATGGAACTCACTAGCAGCTCTTCAGTGCTTTCTTGCTTTCTGTTCATATTTAAAGAACGACTATTTAGGTTCTGCAGACTTTTTATTGCATGCTATTCAAACCTTGTCAGAAGAAAGGATTATCAGTTCCCGTGTTGACTTTTCTATGAATGTTAACTTAGTAGCATACAAGTGCTTTACAAACATTAATTGATTTAACTTCACAACAGTCTAGTGAGTAGCAGACTTCATGTCTTGTGGGGAAAACTTGGAAAGCTCAGAAGACTAGGTGAACTTGTCACATTATTTTTCAGTATTTTTCAGTAAGCATTGGTTTATGCAGAATTACATCACCTTTTATGTTCAAGTCACAGCTCCTGCTGACTTCAGCTTTAGCCCTTTGAACTTGAATTCAAGACACCAGGCTCTCAGAGGAAGGACAGAGTAAGAAATGCCAACTGACATACTTTGTCTAGTTTAAGTTAAATAGGTTTTCCTTGTATTGTGTACAAACTTTGTGACAGGAAGAGGAGCACAATCCAGTTCTCTTGAGCAGCATTCATGAATGTGCACAGCGCCACTCTTCATTCTCTTCCTGCAGTCCCTGGCTTACTCAGTATCCTCATTCCAAGTTCTGCAACAAGTGAATCAGGAATCCTACAGCCATCAGTTTCCTGTTGTGTTACTACACAGTCCTCATTCATCCTCAGAAAAGTCTCATTCTATGCACTGGAGTATGGCAAGGGAGTTTATGAAAGGAACATCATGTAATCATATAACTAAAAATTAGATAAGAAGTCACATGAATTAAAAAGCTGAATTAAGTGAAACAGGCAGCCTTAATTTTGATGTTTCTTAACTTTTTCTCTAGGTTGAACTTGTAGCCTTTAAAATGTTCTTAATTACTAGCTCTTACAGCCTTTCCTGTGTTCTTTGAACAGAGATTTTAAGGCTTGTAATTTCCAACGTTTTTGAAAAGGTAGATGGACATCATTTGAGGTACTGTTGTATAAATGTCTACCAATATGGGCTCTGGAGCCTGTATCTACAGTGCTTTGGCCACTCATTCTCTTTGATTCTTTGAAGGACTTTGCATCCTTTCCACCCTGCCCTTAGCTGATCTGTCCCGTTTGTGTACTGAATTGTCTCTTACTTCTCTTTTGCATGGTTGGTTTCAGATTTCTGTTGCTCCAGCTTTCTGTTGCTCCCAGTTCCTACCAAAAGCTTCTTATTCAGCCAGTACTGCTCATTCCCGATTCCATTCTTCTGCCTCTCCTAACTATCTATCCCAATCTTCTCTTCAGGGCAGTGATGGTCATGATACATCTCCTCACTGACTTCCCAACTCCTGTCTTACCAGACATCTTTTCCATCTACCCTTTTCTCTGTGGCTTCTACGTCCTCTTTATTTGACATTCTCTGCTGCATTGCCTGGATGCCAAAAAGCAGAACAGTATGAGCCCACACAGAGGCTTCTCGCTGTCATCCCCAGTACTTGGGCCCATATCATCACATGGAACAGTTGCAGGGGGGTGATGCATAAGTTTATTGGAGTACTGAGAGAGAAGTGTGTACTTGATGAGCAAAGAATTTTTTTGGGGTATAACCAAAAAAATTGCAGAAGCTTCCACTGAATATGTGCTAACTGCTTTCTTTTAGCAGTTCTTATAACTTAGGAAATTAAGATAAATTTTAATGAGGCTAACAATAGACCATTGGCTTGATACTAACACTATTATCCTGCCAAACTTCAGATGCCTGCAGTAGACTGTGACAGAGCAGAGGTTATTTAATGAAAGATAAATAAACAGCTGATTCCAGGCAGCATTAGTGATAGTCACTGCTACCAGTCCAGCCTGGGATGTTTTCAACTCTTTCTGGAGTCAAATCATTCTAAGCAGAGATCAAAATGTCATCCAGACCCTGGAGTACTGCCATCCAGTAGTAGTAATGACTCTGGGAGAGATCTTGGTTGTGCTTAGTCTGGTTGAAGAAATCTGTAGTTGAAGTGGTAACATCAGAGTCTGTCTTGTAGTTCCCTATATTTCAGCAATGCCTGTGACACAGGTGTAGATCCTCATGGACTTTATTTTGGCACGTTAAGAAACAAATAAACAGAAATGCCCATTTTTATGCCCCAGGCACCACAGGATGTTGGCATCTTCTAGTCTTTAATGTAGTTATGAGATAATAGCCCTGGGAGATAGCAGGGCACAGAACTGTGACAGAACATGGAATTAAGCCATGCCCTCCCAAATCTCAGACTAAACTCCTGTGCAAGCTCTACTTTTGCATATTAAAGCACTGATCCCTAGTTTTAAACAATATCATGGTGGCACTTTGTGTCGTGGAAGTTGATAAAACTTGAAAGTGCATTTTATTTTCTCAAAAGCATCTCATAGAGTCAAAACTGGGGTCGTAAATGTAACAAATGAGGCTTTTCAAAATGAAACTATTCTTACTTTGTTTGAACCTATGCAGTTTCAACTCATGCTTTACCATATATAAACAAAGGTGTGTGTATACACTAGGTGTGCACAAGGACTCGGCAAACACAGGCTTAACCAGTATAACCCTTATAGTTCATGAGTCTCTGAAGGCCCATCTCAGGGAGTCTCAGCTCATTTTAGAACTCATCAGCTTCATGTGTTGTAAGATTTATTGGAATATAAAACAATGAACTCATTTATACTTTCCTATCTGCAGTTTCTGTTGGTCCCACTGCACTGCCTTTTTTTGACTAAGACCAAACCTGATTTATTGTATTTTGATAGCATATGAACAAATTATTTCCTTGAGCAGTCTGCCCCCACCCTGGGCTAAAAAGTTGGATCACATTATGCAAAACCTCAGCCTCTGCAAGCAGACACACTGCTTTACCAAAAGCCATGTGTTAAATTGTGTTTATATTATGTACCTGGCAACAGAGCTGATGTCCATACTCATTATTCATGGAAAAAGGGCCTCATTAGTGGGAAGGCATGCACTGTTGCTGAGCTACATCATTATGGTTTCAGAGTTCAGTGCCTGTCAATAGAGTGCAGATGACCTAAATACTGTTGAATTCTGTAAGGATTTTTGGCTCTGATTTAACACACATCCATGTTATTTACAGCAGAAATAGTTATGGCTGCTTAAGAGACTGTTCTTGATGGAATAAGCTTCTGGTATTCATAGTAGATAAAGTTTCTCTGCTCCTCTTCCCTTGCTTTTTAAACAGATTGTTTTCCAGTAGAGTAGGTATGCTTGCTGTGATGCTTAGAGCAAATGATTTATTAACTTCCCTGGGCAGCCAGTTGCTTTGATTGTTATTATCTGGTAACCTGGGCACTGTGTGAAAACTCGGACCTTTCTGGCAATTAAAAGTCAGATTTAAAAAGAATGGATGCCTATGTATTTAGTCATAGTTATACAGTGGTTCCTCCCTAAACCTGCCCTTGCTTTCCTTTTTTAAAATGGCAGTGTTTTCCAGTGACACTATAAGCCTTCTGGTTTGCAGGAGGAACACCTTATACAGATTTCTCTTTCACTTACTCCCTTGCAAAGAAGGGGAAAGACCATGTCACCATGTAGACGAGAGTTCTACTTGGTGTTCCAAGTTCACTTGCAAACATAATTTAGACCAAAGGATACACAGAAGGAAAGTGGTTTTTAAATAAAAAAGGTCTCATTCTGCTCTAGGCTATGACACTTTTTTTATTTGGTAATGGCATGCTTCAAAGAATCCTACCTTAAATTAGTGTCAAATCAAAATGCAGGCCTTTGAAGAAACACTTCAGAAACGGTCTTCTTTGTCTTGGAATACTTTCAGCTTAGTGAAATCCAAACAGTTAATATAAATTAGTTCTCTAAAATGTAGCCTATTCAGTGCTACTTTTCTTTCTCCAGCCCCCCTCAGTCCAGTTTCTTATTGTCCTTACAGACTTATGAAATGGGTAAATTCTACTGACATTGAACTGGAAAGCATTCTTTTTGTAGAGAGTTGCAGACTGATGAACCAATTGCATGTAGTCTTCAGTTATATTAGCTATGGTCTCCAGGGTTTTTGTATGTGTATATATTTGAGATCACGGTTCCACTCCATTAGTTTCATTAGTTGCCATGATTATGTTGGTATTTTTGAGATGATGTTCTACCTGGTAGAGCTAACTGGGTAGATGTTCTAAGTGCAAGAAAGGGTTTTCTTCTGAGTCAAAGACGCAGGAAGTGGCAGTATGGAAGCAACCATTACCTCATGCACATATTTTATAATCTTTTTGTTTCTTTGAAAGAGAGAAAGTTCCTTGTAACTAGGGTAATACCAATGCCTAGTCTACCTTCTCTGAGAGATGCAAATCAGGTAAGACCTCCAGTTTGTATAACAGCAGTGTCAAAAGAATAGTTTGGACTTTTTCCCATTAACATCTTTTTCAGCTTGTGCTCTTAAAAACGAGTTTCTTTTCTCCATGTCAAAATCGCTTGTCACTTCAGCTAGGTCTCTCTATCAGTTCTGTGTCCATACCATCTGATCTCTTTTTCTGCCATAGGATTCCATGGGGTTTTTTGTTTCTCCTGCTTGTGTAAAGGCACAAAAAGCCTAAACTAATTGTACTAATCTTGCTCTTTCTAATCTCCTATAGGAGAAATGATTCCTTCCCCTCAAGATGCATTTAAGATTGAACTTGGTCAAATCAAAGGGGCTGACACCTGCCTGGTCACTGAGATACTAATCTCAGCAAGAGTTGCATATGAAGTGTTTACAACCAGCAGTGACCGTCAAAATCTTTCCGTAACTGAACAGTTTAAGTTTTAGTTGTGGTCATGGAGAAATAAACACTTTT